AGCAATGTTGGAACAGGGAAAGAAAAGAAAATGCACTTAATTTTAAAGCCATTTTAAAGCAAGTTTTCAGAATAAAATGTAGTCTGTACAGGATCCAAGTGTAAGATACAAAACCCAAGCCATTAGAGCCTAAACCAACTTAAACTTAGTCCAAATAAACCCTCTCCAAGACCACACAAAGTTTCTTCTAACAATTTCAACCTTGACCTCGCACTCAAACACCACAAAGAGCTTGACCTCACTTATGGCAGGCAGTCCCTTTTATCCCTACAATATCATCAATATTTTGGGCAATATCCCCCAAAGTATATCTCACCTTCAGTATCCCGCTTTTCAATTGAAAAATACCCCAGAGGAAGAAAGAGGTTGAGACCATCTTGATGTTGGCTCATGCATAATAATAATAATTTGCCAAAGGGCCAAAAACCGAAAGTCAATCTAATGAAAATCAAATAAAATAACTCAGAAGGCAACGAGGGTCTTAACGAGTGTATATTTTCCATATTTTACAACTTCCCCAGCAGAGGAAATAACAAAAGAACTTTATTAGAAGTCTGCAAAAGAAAATTGGAGAAAAAACCCGCAGCTAATTTTGGACTTAATTTAGGTGAGCCTGTCATTCGCTCCTTCTCCACTTCCTACCAATCGACGACAATCGTATTATTGGCATTACGACCATCATCGGCCCCCTTAGCCATTCCAACTTCCGCCTACGACATTTTGATGGCGGCGCCTCGACATACCGCCTGCAGGAAGTATTAAAGCTCAAATCAACAAACGACTTCGACTAAGGCTGCGGCGGGGGTCATAAATGGACAGTGGATCGCAAATTGTCATTGGTCACGTGCAGGTTAAGGGCAGAGAAAAGGGGAACCCCACTTTTTGTTGCCGTTTGCTGTTATGCTGAAAATATAGAAATAAAAGGGAGTCTCTCGTCCCCAAGTTAAAGAAACATTTTACGACTGCTGCTGCTGTTTGATGACATCGTTTCAGCCATTGGCAATTTGTCGTCAGCAATTGTTTCTTGGACTTATGGGTATTCAGGTGTTTTTTAGAGAGAGGGTAAGGAATCCAGTAAAGTTCCACTTTGTATCTTTCGGAAGAAAGCAACATAAACATTTCTAATTTGATTTATTTCCTGCCAGCAGCAATATGGCTGTTCTAGCATTTGTTATTCTTCTCGCGTTTTGTTTGGCGCCAAGACACAAAAGCTTCAAAGAATAATCCCACACTCTGAGTTTTCCAAGCACCCGCGGCGCTGGGCCATATACAAATGATCTGAATAATTACCTCATCGACAGGGAGCCCAGTGGGAGAGATCGCGGATCACTTGAGGCGATTGTCAAAATATTTTCACAGTTGCAGGCCAAAACAAATAAATAAATAAATAACTGAGATGAATGGGGCTCTAAATGCATGACTGATTGACTGGATAATTGCCCGGGTTCGGGCCTAGCCTGCTCCTATTGTTTGTTTTCACAAAAGTTCTAAATGAGCTTAGCGAATGGTGGGGAGCTGCCTTGATGGATTTCCGCCCCCCGGGAATGCAACTGAAAATGCAGTGCAGTGCATTTTCACTCCCCCCCACCCCCTAAAACTGGAAGTTTTTGTGTTTCCATAAATCTTTGTGTATCTAAAGAAGTTTCTTTTGTATAATTTATGGTTTGATTTATTTAGTTGAAATGGTTTTTGTGAAGAAAATAAATTCTTCGAGGCTTTGAAGAGAGCTTTTCATTTTAACACACTTAATTGTTTGTGAATATTTACCCAAACATTTACTAGCTTCATTTGATTTTTTAAGCCATTTCGAAGAATAATTTTCCTCACCAAAAACTAAAGTTTATTAAACTTTGACAGTTTAAAGAACTTTCTCTTGTTATATTTATTTATTTAGGTGATTCTATAACAGCATGGAAAATAAGAGAGCTTAAAATAGAATATAGATATCCACTCTTACTTTATATTTTGAGCATATTTATTTATAAAATTTCCAGCTTCATTGAATTTTCTAAACCAATTTGAAGTATCCTTACTCAAAGATTCCCCCCCCTGTAATCCGCTTTTATATTACCAAAAACAAGATTTTATTCCCTTCATAAATTTAATTCTCCGTCTTGAACTGTGAACAGATGGAAAGTAGGGGGAAAAAGGGGTAATTCCCTCTAGGCGACACAGGAGTTTTAATATTTATTGTATGGATTTCGTAGAAACATTGAATATGACACACGAAACCATATTCCGAGGAAAACCTGAATGAATTTCTGGGGGCTTTCCCTCACAGTTCATAAATCGAGGGGGGCCTCAAGGAGAAACAAGAATTAGTTCTTCTGCCATCAGTTGGGAGATGCGTGTGTGTCTTCTTTTTTTTCGAGGTCTACAACTTGGCCAGCTCATGTTGACGCCCACTTAAAGTGGCACAATTATGAGGCGACAACATGGGACGCGGAACGAGTAACATCTTGCTCTGGATCGGATCCGATCCGCTTAATTATAGAATACATGATGCGGGAAATTTGTGGCACGCACCATTAGCAGCCAAATGTCCGACAGATCCAACGAAATTTGTCAAAATATTTTGCCCAAGAGCCTATAATAAAAATAGAGACACTGAAATGCACTCCCCGGCGATCACTCCATCAATACAATATATATATGTTTCGACAATAAATCTTTTCAGAGACACCGAAGCGTAGCATCAAAGTCGGCCAGAGATCGGAAAATGTATTGCAAAAGTTCAGAGTCATTTTCCAACTTCCGAGTGTGTGAACACACACTGCAATTAGCAATTGAACTCTTTTACTCCCAACTATATGTATTCGTATCTGTTGGGTATCTCTGTATCTCTGTAAGGCCTAATCACTTTGATCTGTTGACCCAAATACAAATTCCATTCCATTTCGGTGCCATAACAAATTGCATTTGGCCTCAATGAATTATATCATTCATCCGATTACCAATTGCTTCAGTTTTTATTTTATTTTTGTGGCGCCTCGGGCCACCATCATCAGCACCACCTCCTTCCACAATCACACACATGTTGTGGCCCCTAATTTATTTGAGTGTGTTTATGCATATCGATAGATGGACAGGGAAGAGGGAGTGAGAGGATTTTGGATTGCTTAATGGCAAATGTTACTTATGGGGCTCGGAAATCCGGAAATGCCAAGCAGACAGACTGATGGGAAACGATTTTTCGGATATATGAATATTCTGGGATTGGGAAATTCGGAGCAGAAAAAACTCATTAGGAAAATTTATTACTCTTCTGGCAGAGTTCGAAGTTTACACGATAATGTAACGGGTATTTCAATTACCCAGCAAATTTAATCATTTACTAAAAGTGGAAAGAGCTTTTGTTTACTTTATATATTCTAAATAAATAAAACATATTTCCCACCTTTCGTTTTTAATTGAATTTAAATTCCCCAATGAATCCCCCTTAGGGCTAATGTGTAACGCCTAATTTCATCTGCCAAAAATAAATTCTACATATAAAAACTCCATTACCAATCATTATAAAATGACCATTAATCGAATACAAACGCATTAAAATAATTGAATTTCAGTTCAAATAAACAGGAAGAGGCACTTGGGGAGTTGCATACATACATATGTACATAGCTAATCTAGATAAATATTGATTAATATTTGGAAAGGCAGTCGGCGGGGGTTCCCCTCTTTTGGGGGCTTTACCCAATTATGGAAGAGGAAAGAATATGGCGGGAGAAGAGGGTTTCACATACATATAGGCACGTACGACACGCCCTTTAATGATATTGCTGTTGTTTTTGTTTCTATATCTTACTTTGGTATTGTTGGTTGTGTTGCAATACAAAATATGGAAAATATAATTTGTATAATTACAATGCCTTTTGATAATACCAAATACATACCAATCAACAACAACAACAACCAAGTCAAAATTGTTCACGGGGGGGCCAACACCCAGAATTAGTGAGGAGTATTGAAGATGTATTCATTGGTATTATAGGTTCCTATAATAATTTCGAATCTGCCGAATTAATATCTCAGAAAGAGGGGAATTAAGAATTATATTACATAAAAAAGAGAAACTATTGCATGTCTGCTGCATAATTTGAATATTTTAGAGAGAAATTAAAACCCCTCCTGATCTCATAATACTTATACGATCAAGCTAAAATTTGGTATATGGTGAGTTCTGTATGAATACCCTTTAAAATAAGTTCTACTTCGCACAGGAAATACTCTTTAGAGAGACAAAAATCACGCCTGTCTTCAAAGTACTCATCCCATCGTGTTAAAATTTGGCAAATATACCTAGAAATTACTCACGCGAACCTTAATCATCATTTAAGTGACAAAATATCACCCGTTCGTGTCACGTAACCATCTCCAAAAAGGGCGACGACTAATTGAAGCACCGCTCACCGCTCCCGCCCAGCGCCTTAACCCGTATATAAAATACACTACATATACACCCCCCTCTGGGCGGCGGCACGCACAGCGCGGTGCCATCGAATGTCGATGTCGCCTCCAGTTGAACCCCAAAACTGCTCCAAACCATGGTGAAACGTGGCCAGGCAGAGGCGCCGACGATGATGATGATGATGATGATGTCTCCATGTCGGAATCCGAACAATGGAGGTGGAACTGGTGGCCGCAGTTCAACTTGAGCTCGAGCTCCCTCTAACCCTTTCAGCGAGCGGGCTTTATCATCAAAGGGAAATCAAGCTGTCAGTCAATTTATAGTTATGGCGCACACAAACACAAAGGCATTGGGATTGGGATAAGATGGAGCGGCGATAGGGTCAGGTCAGAGTTCACATATTTCAATTAAGGGGAGAAACCACAGAAGCTAACCGTTAAACCAATAGCTGAAGGCCACATCGAACGCCAGCTCTTTAGACCTAAATAATTTAAATATTTAAGTACGTTCCAACCCCCACTTTAATAATTTAAGTATTTTAGTTCTCTTCAACCCTTCCTTAAATAATTTAAATATTTATGCATATTTACAGGACCCTTATCGGAGGTTCTCACTGCTGTGGGATCGGAGGTGGCTCTGCCCTGTGATCTTTTGCCGGGCACACAGATTGCCGATAAAGTGCAACTGGTCATTTGGTATCGTGAGGGAAGCGTAAAGCCCATTTACACGTAAGTTTACAAATTCTTAGTAAATTTTAGAATTATAAATGAAATATATTTAAGCAGAAAGTTGTATAGGAACAGGAGGAAATTGTAGCTGCTGGAATTAAATATATGTATTTATACCCTTGAGGGATAGTCTAGTTTGATTCAGAAGCTTGCAACTCAGGAAGGAGTAATTTGCGACCCTATAAATCATATATATTCTTGATCAGCATCATCAACCGAATCGATTTAGCCATCTCTGGTTGAAAAATAAATTTTCGAAATTTTTTCGATTTTTTTCAAAAAATTATAAGGGGTTACATCATTAAAATTGTTAAAAATTGACAAAAAAAAGTAATTTTCTGAAATTGTAAATTGAGTAAGCAGATTTATTAACCTAATAAAAACTAACATAGGAACGGTTTCCGAATTAAAATTAAAGCCTTTTTGGTTAAGTTATGAGATTTTTAAACTTTGATTGGTCGAAGAAATTGTCATATAAAAATTCAAGCTATACCTAGGTTTTCCCTAAACTAAATATCAATTTTTAACTACAATATTCATGAATTAATTATATTACGTAGTATACCATATCTTTCACTCTTTTCACACCTTTACCTACATTTTCCACTTCCCTATCTTTTTCCTAAATCTTTTTTAAACCTTCCTTATCATCTTCTCACTCAACTTTCGCAACATCATCCATTTTTGAGGCTTAAGAAATTCCCCGTGTATGTATTTAAGCCAATTCCCTCCCTGAACGCTCTCCCCGAGGGATTGTTTCACAGTGACGCTCTTCTAAAGTGTCAGCTAAATAAAATTCACTTAATCATTTTCCATGTTTTTTTTTGGCGTTTCTCTGATATATTTTGGCATTAGCCAAAGACCCAAAAATGAATTTGATTTCGATTCCGAGGGGAATGTCTGGCAATTATGAAGAAAAGCTTCCAGTCTTGAATGTCCCAGGGACAAGAGAGAGGCACACGCACGAAGTAGGCGCTGGCTTTGGCTCATTATAAATTCTATTAACGTGAGGCATTTATGTTGAATTTGACGATATAAACATTACTTACACAGAAGAACCTACGTGCTCCGATTGGAATGGGAGAAAGGGGGGTGGTCTGGGTTTTTGGTGGGTGGAGTTATGGCAAAATACTCCCACAGTCACTTTGAAAAAATACATAGATACAAAAGTTCCCAAAGGAACAACTTTGGAAAACAGTGTATTAAGCATAGCAAATATATAATGTATATTTCCTACTATAAATAATATGCATGCTTTTGCCATATTATCCATATTATTTTTCCCAGTGCTTAACTGAAACCTTAACAATTTTTAACAAGCTCATCATGGGGACAAAATAGGGAATGAAAAAAATATTTTGTGAGACTGTGTGCCAGGAAATGTCGCCAGTAATATCAAGGGGGAAGCTGTGGGTGGTTCTGGCAAATGGGAAAGATATCTTTATATATATTTATATATATGTGTATCTGTCTAACCACATAGAGACTGACTGATTGGCAGCAGCAATTCGGTTCAAAGGTCGCTCTTTGGCAACTCACTTTATATTTTTCCCTCCTTTTACTTTTTTGCAATTTTTGTGTTCAGGAAAAGCCAAGTTCTGGAAAAAGTGATGGTGGTGGCAGGTGAAGTCGAGTGGGGAGTCTCAAGTAGACAGATGCGCAATAGACCAGAAATTGAATTTTATTTCATTTTCCATTAAATTCGTTCCTCTGAATCGATGATGTCAAGCCAAAGTGTCAGAGTTCGCTCTGGCCGGTACAGTGTGCCCTCGAATGCAATTACCAGTCGATGGAGGAGCACTTTTTATGACCGCATAAAGTTGAGGTTTAATGCAGATATCTCCCACCTCCTCCTCGCCCTCGCCCTCGCCCGCATTGCTTTATTGTTTTCCATCAATTTTAATTTGCTTTTCCCACACTTCATAAATTTTCCACTTTGTTCTCGAGCTCGTGCTGCTTCTTGGCGCTGCCTGGAAATTTCAATATGGCCAAAAGGCTGGCAAAAGGTCGGGAGAGATTAATTGCATGAGAAATTTGTTTTCCAATTGCCATGGATAACCCATGGGTAACCCAGGGATAACCCATGGATAACCTCGTGTGCCCCCTCCAACTCTCTCACTCACAGACACTCACTTTTCCAGTTCTCTACATAATTTAATTATGTTTAAAATCCATTAACAAATATCCCATCCATCTTGTGCCACTTACTCCTGATCTTTTTGGGGTTTGGCTTTTCTCTCTCACTGTCTTTCGAGTGTTTTTGCTTAAATGATAAATCATGTAAAGTGTAAAGTGGGGCCTATGATCTATTTGAGGCAATAATTAAGTGTCTCTGAAGTTGTTTTCTAGAACGTTAATAGGTAGAGTTTAATTTAATTAAGCTTATTACTTCTTGTTACATCTAAAAGAAATTTATATAATCCCCTGGCTAATTTTAGCTAGAATTTTCTCTTTGAAACACCAAACTCAGTTCCACTTTTATAGATCAGCACAGATTTTTCCCATAACTCACAGCCGTAGGAGAAATAAAAACGAAAAAATGCCTCCATGTGCTTTTTATCGCTCGAAACCAAAATTAAAATGTTTCTGTGGGCTCTTTAAAGCTACTTAAAAGTGCCACAGAGAATAAATAAAAAACAAAAATTGAATTCACTTGGAAAACAAAAAGAGAAACACAAAAAAATACGAAATAAAATCAAGGAAATACAAAAATAAAATGGGAATCCGCTTAAGCTCAAAAGGGAAGCGCAGCCAGCGCTAAATTGATCAATTAATTAATTAAAGTGAACTATAAAAATGTAAAAGGAAAAACATGCTTTTGTGGGCGCCGATAGGGCGTGGCTGCCATTAACATAAATAGCAAAAATACAGCACAAAAATATGAGGTACATCACAACAAGGAAAATCAAATTAAAATACGCAAAAAGAGACGAAACCAATTAAAAATTGTTGACCATTTAAAAAATGCTAAATAAAAATGTGAAAATGAAAAGCAACTAAAAGCGAAAGCCAAATGGAAATCAAAAGTTCTCCAAATGCATTTTACGAACCATAGATTGGTGTTTAGCCAGAGCCTTGGGGCTTTGTTGACATTTAATGCCGGCACTTTGTCAAAATGCATTGGAAAAAGGGCCATAAAAACAAAGAACAAAAAAGCGTTTGGCAATAACAATAAAAAAAGCCAAGTTCTATCTATAGTTCCTATTAGAGGAAGGGGAACAGCTAATTAAGTATTTTACTTTTAGTGCATGGTTTCCAGGGATTTGACACACATTTCACCTGCTGCCCAGTCGATGGTTGTCTCTCAATTGTTTGAACAATAAAAATCAATGAACCAGGTTAACGCCATTTGCCTTATCGAATCGATGGTAATTGAAGGTGTCCGCCTGTCAGGCGGTGGGTTTGATGATGGAAACGTGTCGAAATGTTTAATTTTTATGTGCAATTAAATGGAGAGTTTGGGGTATAAACTATTTATAGGTAGCAGCTAGCAGATAGAACAGGGAACTGAAGTTGTTTGTTCTGAAACTTTATTGACTTAATTTCTATATTCTCTTTAATTTGTAGCTTTGATGCCCGAAATCGTCCTCTGACCCAGGCCATTCCCTGGGCGGATGAGAGTGTTTTCAATAAGAAGGCTCACTTCCATTACGATGGCACACCGCCTGCCCTAAGGATCAAGAATATACAGACCACGGATGCAGGTCTCTACAAGTGTCGTGTGGATTTCCACAAGTCACCAACACGTAATTGGCGCATTAATGTGACTGTGCTGGGTGAGTTTCCTCATTTTACACAAAAAGAACATGTTAAAAAAGAGTTAAGAACAAGCTTTATGCTCCAGAAATACTTATAAACCTGTTTTAATCCCAATCTCCTCTTAGTTCCCCCCACCAAGCTCATCATAATGGATCATCATGGTGCCGAGATACGGGACCAGACCGCAGGACCCTATTTAGAGGGCGATAGCATCGATTTGACCTGCCTTTCTAGTGGTGGAGTGCCACCGCCAAGGGTTTCCTGGTGGCGTGAGCATGCCCTGATCGATGACTCCTTTCAGGTCCTGCCCGATGGCTCTGTTCGCAATATCCTGCGACTGAAAAACATTCAGCGGAAGGATCTGCTAACGGTAAGTCATCAGCCGCCTTTATTGGGGCTATTTTTGGTATGGAACAAAAATGGGAGGAGAAGAAGGGAGTCGGGTTTGCTCTCAATATCGTAAGCCTTATTTACGACCATGGGACAAAGCATCTTCTAGCACAATACTAATGCTCCATCCTCTGAGGTTTTTCATCAGTGTTGTCAGAAAACTGATAATAGAAAAGGTTACAGATTTACTTATGAATTACAATTTGGTTAATTGTTTAGAGAGTAGAGGGTTCTTTTAAAAACTCTTGGATTTAAATTCTTCAATTAAAACTTTTTAGTTTTCCAACCAAGAACCAAGTGGAAGCTACATTTGCCAGCTTTATAAAAGCCAAGTTAACAGTCCAGCTCTTACCGCTCTTACCTCACTTGACTGCCAGTTGGCCATTTATTTTCGGCCACAAAAGGGCAGCTTTTGGTCTGTGGGCCACCTTCCCGCCATTAATGACAGCGCCCCGTACAATGGGCCATAATGGGAATCAAATGCAACCGCCTGCATTGGGAATTGTTCCCCTGGGTGGTTTGTGGTGATGGTTTCCAGGGAATCCCATTCTCATTCCCCATTTCCCCCCCAGAGAATTCCCCTCCAGCAGAAATGCGATGCTCTTCTGTGGCTCTCCTGTGTTCTGTTGTTGATTCTAAGCCGATTTTTCTCTTGGCCCGTGTAATGAACATTATTGTTAGGCAGCGCTAATCCCGCCATTCAGGATCCCGTCGGTTTCCGCCGCCTCCGCCCCGGCTTATAGCCTCCTCCCTCCTCCGTCCACCTCCTCTAACCCTCTAGTAACCTCTTTTGCCACAGAACAAATTGTGAGCCGGCGGTCTTTGGGTCAGGTCTCTTTTGTGTTATGAATGAATGGCTTGAGTGGAATCACTTGAGCGCTGTTCGTGTAATACCAAAAGTTATTAGCTTAAACTGCACAGAGAGTAGGAGAAATCATAGAACATATCAGACTATATTTGATAGAAAAGGGATTAGGGTGAAACATTAGAGGAAAATCCATGATTACAGCAGTCAAAATATGAGTTAAAAGCAATAAATTACTTTGGACTGGAAAAAGAGTTATGGGAATACATTTATTTACTAAATAAAATGTATGACTAAAGGCAAATAAACAGCTGAAACAGCAAATAAACTATATATACTTTAATAAAAAGGTAATTAATAATCTTATTAAAGCGAAAAATCTTTAAAAAAAAACCATAGTATTTAATGACCTAATTAACGCCAACAACTAATGGGAAATTTCTGCATCACAAAGCACCAGCAAAAAGTAATAATATAACAGCATATTAAAACAATTTAATCTTTAATAAAATGCTAAAAAAAAATATAAATTGCAGGCAGGGATAAAATGAAAAAGAGTTTGGTTATTAAATCGATTTAAATTCAATAGTTTGGAAAACCGTTCGATGCCATAACAAACACGTCTCACAGAACTACTCCCCGGGACCCCCCTAAGTGACCCTATATTTAGGTCTAGATATTGTTGTGTAACCGAATAGAAATTTATGACCTAATTTTCCAATCGAAACGAGACTTGCCAGGAGGCGGCGCTGTCCGACGAACCCAAAAGTTATGCAAATATTTTTATTGCCAGGCAACACAGAGACAGACGACAATAATAAAATGTCCGACGACCCAAGGAGGAGTGAGAGTATCACATTACCTGGGAGGACAGCAGGGGAATTTATGATATTCGATACTATACTCTAGCCAACCTATTGAACTCTTTTGTGCTTTGTGCTTTGTGCTTTTGCCGAAAGCATAATTGATTAGTCAGTCCTGTGTTGCTGTTGTTGCGTGCTCAATACACATTTGCCGCAATTAAAATTAAATGTTGAGCAGCAGCAGGTTGATTTATCATCGATATTGGTTCCATATTTTATTATTATTAGTAAATGAGGCAATTATTGTAATGAGCATAAATCATCGGGTTTCGATTTCCTTTTCTCTTACAGATGTACACCTGCCAGGCCACCAATGGCCATGTGGTCCCTGCTCTGACCAAGAAAGTTATCCTCGACATGAATCGTAAGTGCCTCCTGAATTTCCATTTAATGCAAAGCGAAAATATATATGTATATTCATATATGTATTCTGTGGCCCAGAGTTGAAGGTCAGTTTTCGTGGTGGTGGTGGCTCTGGGATTATTGTTTTGTGGGCGTGACATTTTCATGGAAATTAATGTAATTAAAGTTTTGTCATTCCGCCGCAAGGACACACACTCACACACAGAGCCGACCACGAATGCTCGCATATTTATCCACATCCCTGCATTTATGGTTATGCGGCGGGGCCTCTGGGTGGCTATGCTAATCGCATTGTGAGTCCCCCGAGTGGGGCAGCGGGTTACACGGAATATGTATATATCCACCAGTGATGGGCATAATAAAATGTGTCATAAATAATGAACATTGCCATAAAGGTTGGGCTATAGATGTGCAGGAAATTAAGCGACAGCCGAGAGACGAGAATTTGCCAGCGGAATTTGCGCGGTGTCCTTCTGCCTGAATAACTAAATATGGCAATGATAATCAGTGGTAGCCTTGACAGGACGAACCATAATGGGTTAAGCTGAGTAACTAGTGAATAATAAAGGGGGTTAAGATGAAAGCCATTAAAGGAATCATTCAAATATTCAGGTTATTATAATTTCAGTCAGAAGCTTGAAACTGAGTGAAGGAATCATTTCCGACCCCATAAATCATATATATTCTTGATCAGCACGAACAACCAAATCGATCTAGCCATCTCCGGTTGAAAAATAAATGTTTGAAATTTTTTCCAAATTTTCAATTTTTCATAAGGGGTTACATCATTAAAATTTTTAAAAAATCGAAAAAAAATCAATTTCAGTAAATGTTAAATTGATATGCAGATTTGTTATCCTAATAAATAAAACATAGGAACGTTTTCCGAATTAAAATTAATGCATTTTTGGCTTAGGTATGAGATTTTCTAATTGAATTTCTAGACAAAATTGTCATATTAAACTCTTGATAAAAAATGTAAATCTCAACTAGAAATAAACGCAGGAAACTACAATTTAAAGGCTTTAGTCAAGTATTTTCATTATATAAATAAACCACTGATAAAACCCCTTTTTAATAAGAAATATAAACGCTTTAGAAATAGTTTACCAGGCAATTACCTTAATAGAACCACAATTAAGACTGATAAAAATCTAACTAAAATTGTGGCTATTTTCCCCTACAGTTCCCCTCTCAGTCTGCTTTTGCAAGGACTCAACCATGCCGTAGTGGCGGGCACAAGGACTCATGTGACCTGCACGGCCATAGGAGCTCGTCCGCCACCCATAATTATGTGGTCCAAGGCGGGACAGCCCGTAAAAGGAGCCACAGCATCCGTAAGTCTTTCGTTAATAACAACAATAATTAGTCATAATATATATAAAACCTTATAGACTTCCTCTGATGGCAATACAACCATATCGGAGCTAATGTTAATACCCGTGCCCGAGGACAATGAAAGGCAGGTGGTTTGCTCCATTTCCCTGAATGCTGGAATCACTTCGCAGCAACTCCACGAAGGACACACCACTGTGATGACCACCATGGGCAATGGACATACAGGACTGCATCTCAAGGACTCCCGAGTGCTGAATGTGACACGTAAGGATTACTTGAAACTAAGAGAGTTACAACAGAATAACAAGAGTTTATCTTTCATGCAGATGCACCTATTGTCAACCTGAATCTGGGAGCTCCACTCGATCCGAATAATCTGCTCAAGGGCTCCGATGTCTATTTGGAGTGCGATGTGAAGGCCAATCCGGGTATAACTCGAGTCGAGTGGTATCACAGTGTGAGTATTATGATTGTTTAAATATCACAAAGTAAATAAAACACACAAAAGTGAAGGTAAATCCCATTTTTACCACACAATTTCCTCTAATTAAATTACAGAGCACGCCAGAACCTCAACACCCACAATGACCACTAATTGAATAATATTTATTTTCCCCCCCTTTAACGCAGGACAAGCAACTGCATTCCTCCCGCGGCATCATCATCTCCAACCAAACGCTCGTCCTGCAGGGAATTTCGAAATCCTCGCATGGCCAGTATTTCTGCAGGGCCACCAACCTGCAGGGCAGTGTGTCCAGCAACGAAGTCTACTTGGATGTGAAGTGTAAGTGCCACCCACAAAACCACCTACCTACCTAACGCCTTCCACCTTAACTCTGCAACACACAACTCACTTAACTTTAGCACTTGAATGGTGCATTGAGAGAAAATATAGTGTTGATTTTGCTATTTTAAATTAATATATAAATAATAATTTCAATTAAAGTAAAGAATGTTAAAGGAAGAAATTAAAAACAGATAACAAAGAGTGTAACTGCAACCTCAGAGATAGGAACATTAGGAATTGAGAGGTTCTTTTGATGCTTAACTTATACCCAATACTATCCTAAACTAACTTCGATTTGTTATACATTTCTCTCTGTGTATTCCCACCCTTAGATCCACCCGTTTGCAAGTCGGAATCAACGATTATACGTGCCGCGCTCAAGCAGACAATCAACATCACCTGCGAGGTGGACGCCAATCCACTCGATAATCTAAATTACAAGTGGCACTTCAACAACTCGCTGGAGAGCCTCATCGAGCTGCCCCAACTGGGAGCTGTACCGATGATGCTGGCCCCCGGCCTGGACTCGACTCCGAACGGATATTATCAGCGGAGCAAGCGGAAGCACTCGCACGGAATGCAGCAGCGCCTGCTCCACGGCCGACACGGACGCATGGCAGCCGTGAGGTTTGAGGATGAGGACGAGTACTACGGCGAGCAGCTGGACGAGGAGGAGAATGAGGAGGAGCTGCCGTACACACAAATGGTCTACTCCAATATGGTGCACAAAAACCACGTGGAGATCAACAAGCAGCTGCAGCGGAAGCAGCCATCCCAGCAACAGAACCAACAGCATCTCCAGTCCGGTGGCTCCATCTCGGACACGCATCACCCTTCATCCTCCCTGTCCTCCTCCGCCATCCAGCTGGCGGAGCGCAAGAGACTCTCGGCCCTGCACAAGCAGCAGCATCATCGTGGCGGTGTGGTCACGCCCCCGACAACCACCGCTGCTCCGCCGCTGAACAACGTGTACAGCTATCACGTGGATAGCTACGAGTCCTTCGGCGCCATTTCCTGCGTGGCCAGCAGTCCGATGGGCCACAGTCAACCCTGCTGGTATCACATCCAGCCGGCAGGTGAGTTTTCCACTCCGTCCAAGCGTAGTAGACGCAAGATAAAGAAAGCTTCTTCCGGTAGCTGGTTGGAAATCAGGAAGTCAGTGGGTAAAGTGTAGGAGATACCTCCAAATACACTTTTTTTTGGGTAACATTTCTATTAAATAATAAATTAGAGAGACCAGCGAAAAGGACTTTCAAGGGGATCAATAAGCTAGGAGTAAAAGTCCATCAAAAGATATTATCTAAACCCTAGAGATACTTTTTAAAATAGTTTAAATCTTCTTGATGCATCTTTAGAGATATCGCTAAGCTAAGAAACCCCACATTTCATAGAGTATTTGAGGAAAAATTTAATTAATTTCACATCGAGAGAGCGTGGCCAACATGTTTACTCAATTCGGCTGCTCTCCTCGTCCTCGTCCTCGTCCTCGTCCTGGTCAGTAGATAATTGTTGCACGCAGCACGTACGGTTGGCGGAGAGTGAATCTCGGCTCGTTATTTACATTTGTGCGGAACTGCTCCCGCTGCCTCACCCAATCCAATCCAACCTGTGCCAGGTGGCAATTTAACGCGATGCAGCGCCTGTCCAACGGTTGTCAAGGGGTTAAGAGTCCGTCCCATTTTGTCCCTGACAGCAATAAAAGCCATGTTTACCATCGCCATCTGCATGTTTGCCTGATGCTACTGCTGCTGCTGCTGCTGTTGCAACAACTTCTGCTGCAGCAATCGGCGTGTGTGCGTGTGCGGCCCACGATAATCTGATAATCAAATGCAATAAATTGCCAGGGTACATCATTTATTTATAAAAGCAACGCTGCTGGCCATGGCCCAAAAAAACAGTGGAAATTTTAACGGAAAAAGAAACCATCAAATAGCAAGGGAGGCAAAACTTTGGCCAGGGAAAGATCAGAAAAAAGAGTCTCTCTATCAAGAGATAAAGCCAGGAAAGAATTGATAAAGGAATAGTGGGTTTTTAGAAGTATCTTTTAAAGAAAAGTTAATATAAACAACAGAAACTTAGCCAAAATACATTCCAGATACAAGAGATAGGTTTTGCTTATGAGGTTTTCTAAGACAGCTTAGTTCAGGTTTATCATTTTATTATCTTGATATTTTTATGAATATCTACCCCTCATATTTTCCCCAACCAAAGTCATAAAGAAAAATCCCCTTTATTACCCCTTTTCCCCAATATAGATCTACCCGAACCCGTGAAGAACTGCTCGGCCTTTAATGCCACAGCCAATTCCCTGCAGATTCAATGCATTCCCGGCTATGATGGTGGCATTCCCCAGCACTTTCATGCCCAGATCTATGACGAACTGAACCGCCAGATACTGTACAATGCGTCCTACAAGTACCCGGAGTTTACGGTGAAGCGTCTGCCCAGCGATTCGGTGTTCGTCATCCGGATAACGGCCGTGAATGCCCAGGGAGCCAGCAAAGTGGCATATCGCCTGCGAGGACGTACACTGTCGGCGCCTCTGCTGCGGACAGGTGAGTTGTACATTGGAGTTACCTGTGCAAGTTTGATGTGTAACAGGTTCCCCTAGCTACATTTTCCGGAGTTTCTCACTTAAAATATCTTACACTTTCCTTAAAAACAATTAAATATTAATTGCAATTTTGATTTAAATCCCACAACTTGCAATTTTTGACATCTTTCAAACTATTTTGGCATTGTCTATTTGCCAGCTTATTGACCACTTTGCCGTTTTAATTGATCTTTCTTGTTTCCCATTGTTTGGCCCTCAAAATGATGGCAGGTGGCGGCTTCTTCCCCCCAATGCCATTGTTCTCCTTGCCTGTCCGCATTTTGTCATACGATTTTTCACAATTTTCCACCCATATCTGCTTTCCATTTTGCATGACATTTTCACGTGGGATGTGCTGCAGCCTCATCGACGGCAGTGCTGGTGCAGCTGACACCCCTGCTGGGCGCCCTGGTCGGTGTGATTGCCACACTCATCCTGGTGGCCATTTGCGTGGTGATCTTTATCAAATTCCGCAGCAAACGGGGCGGCGGCGGGCGGAGGCATGGGAATGGTGGCGAGGCCACCACCACCGAGGCGGACAAGGGCAGTGCGGAGCCACTTTCCCGTAACATGGGCAGCCACTCCAGTTTGGAGGACAAAAACCCGGATGTGGTGCCCCAGGAGGCCAACAGCGAGGACGAATTCCATCAGGAGGAGAAGGCCTTCGACCGATTGAATATGGAATCGCAACGGATTTTGTACACCCCGCCGACGCGGATTAATACCGCCTCCCCGCCGCCGCCATCGTTGTCGCCCACCTTTGGCAAACAGGTGAGTTTCATTGTTTGCATTTTCCGCTATCTCTTTTTTTCAGATTCAGATTTCCCGACTTTTCCCATTTCCCGATTACTGATTCCAGTTTGCATATTGTGAATGGTTCACGCCGCTCACAAAGAGCCGCCTACTGGTGTTGCCTACTTTCAGGCTCTCGCTTTAAAAGCGTTTCCCCCTGGCCGAAGATTAAAGGGGGTTTCTCAAGGGATTGATATGGTATTTGATTTTGTTTTATGGGTGCTTGACGTGTGTTTAGTTTGGATTTTAGGTTTTTAGAAGGGTTGTGTGCATTTCATGTATTGATAACATGAGAAAGTAGCTTGTTTTTGCGAACACTAAAGGTGAATATATTCAAATAAACATAGCCAAGTCATATCTTTATATGCTTTTCTGGTATTTAGAAAACGGAGTTAAATATCTAAACATGTGTAGAATTTCTTAAGAATATATAACTTTTTTTTAATGCTAGAGCAGGATGAATAGAAGCTTGATTGTAAAATATTTAACATGTTTTACCCTTAATATAATTTCATTCAGAAGCTTGTAACTCCAGAAGAAGTAATTTCCGATCCTATAAATCATATATATTCTTGATCAAAATCAACAGCCAAATCGATCTAGCCATCTCCGGTTGAAAAATAAATTTTTGAAATTTTTTCGAAATTTTCAATTTTTCATAAGGGGTTACATCATTAAAATTGTCAAAAAATCGAAAAAAATTCAATTTCATTAAATGTTAAATTGAGTATACAGATTTATTAACCTAATAAAAACTAACATGGGAACGCTTTCCGAATTGAAATTAATGCCTTTTTGGCTGAGTTATGAGATTTTCAAATTTGATTTGTCGATAAAAATTGTCACATAAAAATAAGCATCGTTTCAAAGAATGCAAACTTAGTTATTTAAAAGTATCTCAAGTTTATTAACTCAAGTTCAAATTTCTATTGACATTAAACCTTCTACAAACATAACCTTCTAAGCAACCGGAAAAACTCGCCTCCCTAAAGGAATATTTCCAAGCTTCGACCTCTCTCCTGCCCCCTTTTGTACATATTTCCATCCCTCAATTAGCCAGAAACCGTAAATAAATTACACAAATTAGTTTCCTTGTTTTCCCCACCAACAACAACAAGTTGCTGACCCGCCAAAACTTTTCCTCCAGTGTCCAGTCCACATCCCAGTACAGTTTTGCTTAAATTTTTATCATTGTTTGGTTTCATTTTTTATCCGGTTTTTTGGGTTTTCGAGAATTGTTTGGGAAGTGGGGCATCAAATTTTGATGAGCAAAATGTTTTTGTTGCCAGTCGTAGTCGTCGTCGTTGTCGTCGACGGCATAAAGTTCCAAAAATGTTTAGCTTTTTGTGTTTAGCTTGGCTTTTTGTTAAATTTTAGGTCCGGTCGTCCCTTCCGAGTTGGTGAGAGTTCGTAACAAGCTCATTAGAAGTTCCTGGTGTTTGTGTGGGTCAGTTGGCCAACTTTTCGATTAGAAATTGTTTTCGTCAGCGTTCAGTTGAGTTCCAGTTCAGTTCAGTTCAGTTTGTTCGTCATAACTGTGTAAAAGGACGAGCGTGGAGAATTCCCATCAAAGTTGAAGGGAGGAGAGTGAGAAATTACCGAGAGATAGCCAAGGGGGGGCGGCTAATTAAAAAGCTAAATAAATCAAAAGGCTGTGATAAATGTAGGGCTTTTTATTATAGTTTTTAATTAAAAGCATGAAGCCTGAAGTACGGAAAGGAAGCATTAACAATTGGGAAGCGTATTTATTATTTAAAACAAGGGTTTCTGGGAATGATTTAAGCCAGAGAAGGAACATTAGGCTAAAAACGTAGCGATCTTATAAAGATTTTCCTCCTTTTGTGATTTTGGGAGACAAAGATCTGAGTAAGATCTGAGTGAGATCTGTTCAAGGGAAACTTGCTTGAACATTGCAAGCAAATCATAGAAATATGACTCCCCTTACCATTTACAAAATTGTCTAAATTATTTCCTTAACGATTGTAAACAATTTCCTAATCCCGCTTTTTGTTTATCCCCTTTATTTTCCACAGTACGGTGAACTATCGCTAACCACGAACCCTGCATTCAGCCTGTATAACACGCCCCAGCGAGCTCCTGCCGTTCAGCGACCTGTTTACACCGCTCCGCCGCCCCTGCTGTCCACGCGGACGCCCCCCAATATCTACACCCGCATCCCGGGCAGAGGTGGCGCCGGCAGCGGTGCAACGGTGACCTCGGCGGGAGCCACTGGCTATCACCTGCCGGCGTACGAGACCAGGACCTCGCCCACCTCCCCCTATGGATCCACCACGACCTGCACAATGCCCCTGCTGGGTGGCCAATCCAATGGATCGCTGCAGACCAATGGGAGCAGCGGTGGCAGTGGTCTCGTAGTCGGCGGGGCGTGTAATACATTGCCACATCCCGGTAGCCTGCATGGACTCCATGGAGGCGGTGGCATCTCGGCGGCGTTGACCAGTTCGGTGACCAGTGGCAACATTACCATCGGGGCGGCTCAGTCGCTGCTGACCTCGCCACGGTCCCAGACCGCCACATATAGCACCACGCTGGGCGGAATGGGCACCGTGGGGGTGCAGTCGCCGCTCCTGATGAGCGGCGGCCTTGGGAACTACGAGACGGTGAGCTCCTGAGAGTTAGCCAAAGAGGACGTCAAGTGTCAGATCGTGTGCATCGGGGGGAGCAGTACGTGCACCACCACCACTCTGGGCGCCGAGCGCACCACCATTGTCTAAGGAACATATACTTAATACCCTAAGGAACTGTCGCAGAGGTAACTGAATCCCAAAATCTGTATTATAGTAGGTAAGCTCCATCGACAAGACTTCCACAAAAAAAAAAGCAAAACAAAAGTAGCAGCTGGAAAAACTAAACTAGAAATCTTAAACATATATATATATATATAGTTAAAGCCCAGATTGTAAAGGATTTAGCATTGTTTTCGAACCCACAAAGAGAAAGGCATTTATTTAGTTTAAACAAATCGAGAATCTGTCTTTGTGCGCTAAAAAAAACCGAGAAACATAATGAGCTATGCTTGTGAAATTAACAAAACAAAACAAAAAAACTAGTACTAATCGCAATTAGTTAAGCTATATAGATGTGTATATATGTAACCTAATTTAGGATCAGGTCTGCTAATACTTAAACTAGTTGTAGCCTAAACTAAATTGAACTTAGTTAGTCACATTGCGAATCTACGAAAAGACTATCCCTATGATAAAATTACAGAATTTAATGGCATATCTCTATAAAAGAAAAACATATAGCACAACCACACAACACGACATCTGAAATAGGCGCAAACTACATAAATATATACATATATATTATAAACGATACGATACAATACGATATATGGATATGGTGTGGCGTGTATGTGTGCATCGAATCATACTTTGTTAAATGTGGAATGAAATTTTATAAGCATCTGTTGTCGACAACTACTTTTTCAGCTCTATATAGTACGAATATAAATATATATATATAAATGATCTGTATGTATCCAAGATTAAAGTGCGCAAAACCAACAACCTGCCCCCCAGAAGAACCCCCTTTTTCCCAATTCAATTTCATCGAACTTACAACCCGCTTTACACCTACTTCCCACCATCAACGAACCCAACATGCAAAGTGCTTCTTCAATGACAAAATCAAATTGAATTGTGACTCGAATTATAAATTGGAAAAACAAATCGAATACAAACACTAAAAAAATGGAAACGAAAAAACTTGAGAATGAAATTTAGTTTTAAGGACCTTCGACTCTTTAAGTATGTTTAACTTTATATTCTTAATTAACCCCTTGATTATATTTATTTCTTGTGTTTCGAAAATTAAGTAATTTACGTTCAGTCCCGATTTTTAATGTACAATTAAACTTAATATTTGCAAATGAGCAAAACCAAGTGAAAATAAGTGAACAAAAAATAAAGAACAAAATGTGTATAACATTATGTAGTTTTTATGATTGAAAAAATCAAGATAAGGTAAGGAAATAGCTCCCTCAATGCATTATAAGCTTCTGACTAAATTTATAAAACCAATCTTTGTTTACGATTATATGACAATATTTTGCTTCTAATTAAAGATTAATAATCTCATAACTCAGCCAAAAATTTAGTAATTTTAAATCAGAAAGCCTTTCTGTGTTCCTTTTTTAAAGGATAACAAATCTGGATACCCAGTTTTTATTTTTAAAAACATAAAATAACTAAAATTATAATAGCATTCTTTGAGCAGGTATATTTATCAGTATTTTTAAATGACAATTTTTTCCTACAAATCGCAGATTAAAAATCTCATAACTCAGCCAAAAATGCATTAATTTAATTCGGAAAGCTTTCCTATGCTTGTTTTTATATGTTAACAAATCTGCATACTCAGTTAAAAACGTAAAAATTTGGCAATTTTTGAAAATTTTAATGATGGTACCCCTTATCTTTTTTGCAAAAATCGATCAAATTGAAAAAAAATATTTTTCTTAATTTATAGCTAGTTCGACTCGCCTTTTTATGCTGATCAAGAATATATATGATTTATTGGGTCGGAAATGACTCCTTCACTGCATTATAAGCTTCTGACTAAATTTATAAAACCATTCTTTGTTCACGATTATATGACAATTTTTTTCTTCTAAATAAAGATTAAAAATCTCATAACTAAACCAAAAATGTACTAATTTTAAATCGGAAAGCCTTCCTGTGTTCGTTTTTAACAGGCTATCAAAACTGCATACCCCGTTTTTATTTTAAAAACATAAATTGCTTAAAATTTAACAGCATTCTTTAAGCAGGTATATTTATATATTTTTTTATATGACACTTTTTTCTACAAATCGCAGATTAAAAATCTCATAACTCAGCCAAAAATTTAGTAATTTTAAATCAGAAAGCCTTTCTGTGTTCCTTTTTAAAGGATAACAAATCTGGATACCCAGTTTTTATTTTAAAAACATAAAATAACTAAAATTATAATAGCATTCTTTGAGCAGGTATATTTATCAGTATTTTTAAATGACAATTTTTTCCTACAAATCGCAGATTAAAAATCTCATAACTCAGCCAAAAATGCATTAATTTTAATTCGGAAAGCTTTCCTATGCTTGTTTTTTATATGTTAACAAATCTGCATACTCAGTTAAAAACGTAAAAATTTGCCAATTTTTGAAAATTTTAATGATGGTACCCCTTATCTTTTTTGCAAAAATCGATCAAATTGAAAAAAAATATTTTTTCTTAATTATAGCTAGTTCGACTCGCCTTTTTATGCTGATCAAGAATATATATGATTTATGGGGTCGGAAATGACTCCTTCACTGCATTATAAGCTTCTGACTAAATTTATAAAACCATTCTTTGTTCACGATTATATGACAATTTTTTTTTCTAAATAAAGATTAAAAATCTCATAACTAAACCAAAAATGTACTAATTTTAAATCGGAAAGCCTTCCTGTGTTCGTTTTTAACAGGCTAACAAAACTGCATACCCCGTTTTTTATTTTAAAAACATAAATTGCTTAAAATTTAACAGCATTCTTTAAGCAGGTATATTTATATATTTTTTATATGACTATTTTTTCTACAAATCGCAGATTAAAAATCTCATAACTCAGCCAAAAATTTAGTAATTTTAAATCAGAAAGCCTTTCTGTGTTCCTTTTTAAAGGATAACAAATCTGGATACCCAGTTTTTATTTTAAAAACATAAAATAACTAAAATTATAATAGCATTCTTTGAGCAGGTATATTTATCAGTATTTTTAAATGACAATTTTTCCTACAAATCGCAGATTAAAAATCTCATAACTCAGCCAAAAATGCATTAATTTTAATTCGGAAAGCTTTCCTATGCTTGTTTTTATATGTTAACAAATCTGCATACTCAGTTAAAAACGTAAAAATTTGCCAATTTTTGAAAATTTTAATGATGGTACCCCTTATCTTTTTTTGCAAAAATCGATCAAATTGAAAAAAAATATTTTTCTTAATTTATAGCTAGTTCGACTCGCCTTTTATGCTGATCAAGAATATATATGATTTATGGGGTCGGAAATGACTCCTTCACTGCATTATAAGCTTCTGACTAAATTTATAAAACCATTCTTTGTTCACGATTATATGACAATTTTTTTTTCTAAATAAAGATTAAAAATCTCATAACTAAACCAAAAATGTACTAATTTTAAATCGGAAAGCCTTCCTGTGTTCGTTTTTAACAGGCTAACAAAACTGCATACCCCGTTTTTTATTTTAAAAACATAAATTGCTTAAAATTTAACAGCATTCTTTAAGCAGGTATATTTATATATTTTTTTATATGACTATTTTTTTCTACAAATCGCAGATTAAAAATCTCATAACTCAGCCAAAAATTTAGTAATTTTAAATCAGAAAGCCTTTCTGTGTTCCTTTTTTAAAGGATAACAAATCTGGATACCCAGTTTTTATTTTTAAAAACATAAAATAACTAAAATTATAATAGCATTCTTTGAGCAGGTATATTTATCAGTATTTTTAAATGACAATTTTTTCCTACAAATCGCAGATTAAAAATCTCATAACTCAGCCAAAAATGCATTAATTTTAATTCGGAAAGCTTTCCTATGCTTGTTTTTATATGTTAACAAATCTGCATACTCAGTTAAAAACGTAAAAATTTGGCAATTTTGAAAATTTTAATGATGGTACCCCTTATCTTTTTTTGCAAAAATCGATCAAATTGAAAAAAAATATTTTTTCTTAATTTATAGCTAGTTCGACTCGCCTTTTTATGCTGATCAAGAATATATATGATTTATTGGGTCGGAAATGACTCCTTCACTGCATTATAAGCTTCTGACTAAATTTATAAAACCATTCTTTGTTCACGATTATATGACAATTTTTTTCTTCTAATAAAGATTAAAAATCTCATAACTAAACCAAAAATGTACTAATTTTAAATCGGAAAGCCTTCCTGTGTTCGTTTTAACAGGCTAACAAAACTGCATACCCCGTTTTTATTTTAAAAACATAAATTGCTTAAAATTTAACAGCATTCTTTAAGCAGGTATATTTATATATTTTTTATATGACACTTTTTTTCTACAAATCGCAGATTAAAAATCTCATAACTCAGCCAAAAATTTAGTAATTTTAAATCAGAAAGCCTTTCTGTGTTCCTTTTTTAAAGGATAACAAATCTGGATACCCAGTTTTATTTTTAAAAACATAAAATAACTAAAATTATAATAGCATTCTTTGAGCAGGTATATTTATCAGTATTTTTAAATGACAATTTTTCCTACAAATCGCAGATTAAAAATCTCATAACTCAGCCAAAAATGCATTAATTTTAATTCGGAAAGCTTTCCTATGCTTGTTTTTATATGTTAACAAATCTGCATACTCAGTTAAAAACGTAAAAATTTGGCAATTTTTGAAAATTTTAATGATGGTACCCCTTATCTTTTTTTGCAAAAATCGATCAAATTGAAAAAAAATATTTTTTCTTAATTTATAGCTAGTTCGACTCGCCTTTTATGCTGATCAAGAATATATATGATTTATGGGGTCGGAAATGACTCCTTCACTGCATTATAAGCTTCTGACTAAATTTATAAAACCATTCTTTGTTCACGATTATATGACAATTTTTTTTTTCTAAATAAAGATTAAAAATCTCATAACTAAACCAAAAATGTACTAATTTTAAATCGGAAAGCCTTCCTGTGTTCGTTTTAACAGGCTAACAAAACTGCATACCCCGTTTTTTATTTAAAAACATAAATTGCTTAAAATTTAACAGCATTCTTTAAGCAGGTATATTTATATATTTTTTTATATGACTATTTTTTCTACAAATCGCAGATTAAAAATCTCATAACTCAGCCAAAAATTTAGTAATTTTAAATCAGAAAGCCTTTCTGTGTTCCTTTTTTAAAGGATAACAAATCTGGATACCCAGTTTTATTTTAAAAACATAAAATAACTAAAATTATAATAGCATTCTTTGAGCAGGTATATTTATCAGTATTTTTAAATGACAATTTTTTCCTACAAATCGCAGATTAAAAATCTCATAACTCAGCCAAAATGCATTAATTTTAATTCGGAAAGCTTTCCTATGCTTGTTTTTTATATGTTAACAAATCTGCATACTCAGTTAAAAACGTAAAAATTTGGCAATTTTTGAAAATTTAATGATGGTACCCCTTATCTTTTTTGCAAAAATCGATCAAATTGAAAAAAAATATTTTTCTTAATTTATAGCTAGTTCGACTCGCCTTTTTATGCTGATCAAGAATATATATGATTTATGGGTCGGAAATGACTCCTTCACTGCATTATAAGCTTCTGACTAAATTTATAAAACCATTCTTTGTTCACGATTATATGACAATTTTTTCTTCTAATTAAAGATTAAAAATCTCATAACTAAACCAAAAATGTACTAATTTTAAATCGGAAAGCCTTCCTGTGTTCGTTTTTAACAGGCTATCAAAACTGCATACCCCGTTTTTTATTTTAAAAACATAAATTGCTTAAAATTTAACAGCATTCTTTAAGCAGGTATATTTATATATTTTTTTATATGACTATTTTTTTCTACAAATCGCAGATTAAAATCTCATAACTCAGCCAAAAATTTAGTAATTTTAAATCAGAAAGCCTTTCTGTGTTCCTTTTTTAAAGGATAACAAATCTGGATACCCAGTTTTTATTTTTAAAAACATAAAATAACTAAAATTATAATAGCATTCTTTGAGCAGGTATATTTATCAGTATTTTTAAATGACAATTTTTTCCTACAAATCGCAGATTAAAAATCTCATAACTCAGCCAAAAATGCATTAATTTTAATTCGGAAAGCTTTCCTATGCTTGTTTTTTATATGTTAACAAATCTGCATACTCAGTTAAAAACGTAAAAATTTGGCAATTTTTGAAAATTTTAATGATGGTACCCC